TAGAGTTCTAAAAACAGCACAATTACACAAGAGAGAGAAATTAAAGGAATAAAGATGGAAAAGGAAGAATTTAAATTAGCATTATTCATGAACGATATGATACTCTACACAGAGGACTCCAAAAACTCCACCAAATGATTCCTACAGTTAATAACCAAATTCAGTAGCATAGCTGTATATAAAATCTACATTAAAAATAACTAGCATTTTCTGTACATGAATAACAAACTCACTGAGAGAGAAATTAGGGAAACCATACCCTAACAATAACATCAAAAAAATATGAAATACTTAGGACTTAACATCATAAAAGAAGCAAAAGATCTATATTCTGAAAATTACAGTGCTCTGAAAAAAGAAATAGAAGAAGATCTCAGATAATGGAAAGCTATTTCTTGCTTATGGATAGGAAGAACCAATATTGTGAAAATGACCACACTCCCAAAACTGTTATACAGATTTAATGCAAACTCAATCAAAATACCATCAGCATTCCTCACAGATTTAGGGAAAACATTCCTAAAATTAATTTGGAAACAGAAGAGAACTAGAATAGTAAAGGTAATCCTGGGAAACAAAGGCAAAGCAGAAGGCATCACAATTCCTGAGTCGAAATTGTACTACAAAGGTATTGATATAAAATCAGCATAATACTGGCAAAAAATAGACCTGAGGATCAATGGAACAGAATAAAAGATGAAGACACAACTACAAACACACTTAGACACCTTATACATGATAAAGGAGCCAAACATGTTCACCGAAGAAAGCCTCTTTAATAAATGGTGCAGGAAAATCTGTCTCTCTACATGCCAAAAAATTAAAGTAGACCCATGTTTATCACTATGCACTGAACTAAAGTCAAAATGGATCAAAGATCTAAATGTTAAAATAGAAATGGTAAATCTGCTGGAAGACAAAGTGGGTAGAAATCTTGAAGACGTAGGAAGACATAGGAGAGTTCAAGAACATAAACCAAAGTGCAGAGGAAACACTTCAAAGAATCAATAACTGGAATCTCATCTTATTAAAAAGTTTTTTAACCTCAAAACAAATTACCAATAGAGTGAAAAGAAAACCCACAAATTGGGGAAAAAATTAGCCAACTGTCCTTCAGACAAAGGACTCCGATCTAGAACATAAAAAGAATTGAAAAAAATCAGGCCCCCTAAATTCAAAGGCCCAACCCAAACATGGGTATCTAAGATGAATATACACTTCTCAGATGAAGAAATATAAATGACACATAAATATATGAAAAATGTTCAACATCATTGATCATTCAAGAAATGCAAGTTAAAACAACACTGAGATTCCATCTCACCTGAGAAAGAATGGTTATCATCAAGAAATCAACCAATAACAAATGCTGATGGGGTTGTGGGAAAAAGGAACCCTTCTCTGCTATTGGTGGGAGTGTAGACTGGTGCGACCACTGTGGAAATCATTGTGGAGATTCCTCAAAAATGATTAAAAATAAATACAAATGGCAAATAAAAATTTTCAGCATCATTGGTCATTTGAGAAATGCAAATTAAAACAACATTGAGATTCCATCTTACTACAGAAAGAATGGCCAAGATCAAGAAATCAACCAATAACAAATGCTGGAGGAACTGTGGGAAAAAGGAAGTCTTCTCTGCTGTTGGTGGGAGTGCAGACTGATGCAACCACTGTGGAAATCAGTGTGGAGATTCCTCAAAAAGCTAGGATTAGAGGTTCCATTTGACCCATCCATCCTGCTTCTGGGCATTTTCCCAGAAGAATTGAAAACATCATACCACAGAGATATATGTGCACCCATGTTTATGGCAGCATAATTTGTAATAGCCAAGTCTTGGAAACAATGCAAGTGCCCACCAATCAAAGAATGGATAAAAAATATGTGGTATTTTTGTACAATGGAGTAATACTCAGCTATAAAGAAAGACTGCATCAAGGCTTTTATAAGTAAATGGAAATGACTTCAGACTATACTTATAAGTGAAATAAATCAATCTCACATGTATATATACCATATTGTCTCCCTAGTGTAAGAAACTGTAAGAGCAAATAAGATCCAAAATCTACAATAAATATTGGGTTAAGGTAAGAAACTTCTCAAAGAGAAAAAGTAACTGGGATAGAGGAATGGAGGAAAGAAGAAAGGGGAAAGGAAAAAGACATAAATTTGTATAAATATACATAAGATAGCTAAAGTGACTATATTACTAATTGTGTTAGTTCTTGGAAAAGAACAGATAATATTCGTATGATTAGATCAAATTTTGCATATCTATATCTGGTAATCTAAGCAACCCTTTTGAAGGTAACAATATGAAATATTATAACTATTGTTAGATTCTTATCTTATTTTGAAAACCTATACTGTTATTCTTTTGGATTTGTGGTTGTTTGTCTCTTTTGCTTTTTGTTTTTCTGTTCTCTTTTTTGTCATAAGTAAATTCTTTAAAAACTAGGATTAAAGATTCCATTTAACCCAGCTATTTCCCTTCTGGGTATTTTTCCAGAACAGCTGAAAACATCACACCATAGCAAAATATGTGCACCCATGTTTATATCAGCAGATTTTTTTAATAGCTAAATCTTGGGAACAACCCAAGTGCCCATCAGCTGAGGAATGGATAAAAAAGTGTTATTTTTATACAAGGAGGTACTATTCAGCTATAAAAAAGGGCAAAGTGGAGACTTTCATTGGGAAGTGGATACAACATGAGACCATATTAATAAGTGAAAAAAAATCAGACTCGCATGTGTAAACATTATATTGTCCCCCTAGAGTAAAAAGCTGAAATAGTAATATCTAAAATATATAATAGATATTATGAAATGAGAAGAATCTGTTCAAAAGGAAAGAAAAACTGGAATAGGGGAAAGGAGAAAAGGAGGAGAATATATATATCTTTTTAGTTAAGATATTTAGAGTACTATTTGGCATTCATTCACTGAAAAGAAAGGTTTATGCCTATTTTGTTTGATCAATTTTTATGCCTATATCTTAATGAGCAATTACTTTAAGATCACATTATGAAATGCATTAACCATTGTTATTCTCCTATCTTGTTCTGCAATTTTTTTCTTTTTTTTAAATTTTATTTTGAAGGTAGTAAAAATACAACAAAACAAGACAGAACAAAGCCAATCAAGACTATGCAGTGAAATTGGTACAGAACTTCACAGCAGGATACTGGGATAGTAGTAATAGTTACTATAGTATATCTCGTTATCTTCCCAATAGTTGTCCAGTCAATTAGGCATAAAGAAATCAAACCAAAAACAGAACACTATGAAACCAATTGAAAGAGAATATTGAATATAGCAAAAATATTAATCATAACAAAACAGTGAAAACAATATTTACCTTCACAAGGAAGATAGAAGGAAATCCTGCATATTTGCTATATTGCATATGGTCATCCTCCCAAGAGATGCTCAGACTTCTGTCCCCAGTTGCTAACTGGGGTGGGAGAGTGGGAGATGTTTGATTCTCAGACCATTCTCTGGTCGGCTATCAGGAGACACTTATGCCAAGGGCACTTACCAAGCAGGCAGGCGAATTGCTTTCTGGTGCAGCTGCCTAAGTTCCACCATGGCCGGATCTCAGGAGCCACTGGTTGTCCTCCTGGCTCACCCTAGGGGCGCTTACCAAGAGGGAAGGCCTTGTTTTGAAATTTTGTATCATTGTTTTTATTGTTTTTCTCATGCTTAATTTATTTGTATGTCAAATTCTTTATCCATATTTCAGAAGTTTTCTATTATTTCTGTGAAAAGTTTTTTTTTTATGGCATTTGTGCTCTCTCCAGCTTTGTCATTGTTATATGATTCTTATTTGCTTCATCATGTAGCTGTTGGATTGATTTTTCATGGTATGCTGCTATTTTTAAGATATCTTTCTTTTCATAATTACTAGCTGGGTATTTTCCCAGAAGAGTTAAAAACATCATATCACAGCAAAATATGTGCACCCATGTTTATAGCATCACAATTTGTAATAGCTAAATCTTGGAAACAACCCAAACCCCCATCAACTGAGGAATAGATTAAAAAGATGTGATATTTTATACAATGGAGTGTTACTCAGCTGTAAAGAAGGATAAACTTGAGACATTTATAGGGAAATGGAAGCAACTCAGGACCATTAGTGAAATAAATCACTTATATGTGTAAACATTGGATTGTCTCCTTAGTGTAAGAAACTGAAAGAGTAAATAAGATCCAAAATGTACAATAGGTATTGTGAAAGAGAAAGAAACTGTTCAAAAGGAAAGAACTGTGATGTGGGAAAGGCAAAAAGAAGGTATATATATATATATATATATATATATATATATATGCACATAAGATTGCTAATGTAAATTATACTACTCATTCTATTAGTTCATTAAAAAGATCAGTTACTGTTTATATTCTTTGGTCAGTTTTGAACATCTATATCTGGTAATCTGAGTAACTGTTTTGAAAACAATAATATGCAATATAATAATTTTAATTTCCTACCATCTTGTTTTGAAATTCTATATCATTTTCATTTTTAAATTCTCTTTAAAATAGAAAAAGACCTTATATACTGCTATATTTAATTTTGCTGCAGAAGTATTTGTGTATTGGGATTATTACGTGCTTTGCAGTCTACTTGGGTTGTGGCATAGTATGTTTTTTATATATTTGCTTAATTGTTTTTCTTAAATACAAAACATTCTGCCATTTGTCAACTAGTGACTGTCAAAATAGCCTCATCTTTTATCTCATGTTCAGGTGTTTTGTGGAATTAATCAGAATTCCTTTAAAGTATTTCACCTCCAGACTTATAATATTCAATGACATTTTTGGAGGATTTATTTATCACTTGCTGGAAAACAGAGCCAAGTACTTATTTGTTTCCATCTTTATCACCTGGCACAATGCCTGGACCTAACAAATATTCATAATCATAGATCAAAATAATAGAAAATTCAGTGATAGGAAGAGAACTATAGGATTTATAGAAGTCCTGAATTTTAATTTCCACATTATAGTTTCTGGAATAGTTTAATGTGTTTAGAACAAATACATTAAATCTGATTAAAAAGAAAAGTTTTCTTGGTTTACATCCTTATTGTAGGCACATCTATGAAGTACCCAATAATTATATTCATCATGAGGAGTTGATACATGCATACAGTACATCTTAGTTCTTCTTCTATCCTCCACCCCTCCCATCCTTCCCTTCTCCTCCTACTTTTTGGTCCCTTCCCATTTACAAAAGACTAACATTTTTTTCCTTTAATTCTTCCTTTTGCTGTATTTTCTTAAGAGAAATAGATGTAATATGTATATACCATAAAATGAAAGTAATAATAGAGCACAAATGTTACCACTTTTCTTCCAGAAATGGGATTCCAGATGGTTGATGTGCAGATATAGGTATTCAATTGCCAATTCATTCCAGTATTGATTTCCATCTCTGAAGGTTGACACCACTTCATGTCCGATCTGATTGAAAAAGACTATCTTCAATAAATGGTGTTGGGAAAATTAAGTGTCCACATGCATCAGAATGAAATTAGACCTTTGTCTTACATGACATACAAAAAGCCATTCAAAGTGGATTAAAGATGAATGTAAGACCTGATAATGGAAAAGGTCTTGCTATGCTGTAGTTTGTATCTGCAGTGATCCCCATCGGCCCATGTGTTGAAAGCTTGTTCCACATCCTGTGACACTATTGGCAGGTGGAGGGATCCCTGGATCATCAGAAAGATGCACTTGAGCAGGATCCTGGAACCCGCCCCCAAGCTCCACTTTCTTGTTTTCACTTTCAGATCATAAGGTAAATGGTTTTGCCCTGCCACACATTCCCACAATGATATGCTACCAAGGGGCTAATTGATCATGGACTCAAATCTTTTAAAATTGCAAACCAAACAAATGTCTTCTTTAAACTGACTATTTTAGGTATTCATTACAGTAACAGAAAGCTAACACACTGATGTAAAATATCATGGAGTAAAAACTACGTGACATTGACTAGGGTAATGGACTTTTAGATTTGACTCTAAAACCTCAGGCAACAATAGCAAAAACAGATAACTGAGATTACAACAAACTAAAAAGGTTCTATACAGAAAAGGGAAAAAACAGTGTAGCACCCTATGGCACATTTGCTATAGCAGGCTATTTGTATCACTGAAAGTTTGTTTTGTTTTTGGTACTAACAATCAAACTCACAACCTCCCACTTCCAAGCAAATGTTTGTGCCACTGAGCTATATTCACATCCCTGTTTTGTTTGGTTATAAAACAGGGTCTCACTATGCAGATCATTGTGATCCTCCACCATGCCCAGCTCTTCTCCAGTTTATAGCCATTAGATCAAGCCCCTTTTGCCTTATTGTATTTCTCCATAACTAGCTACTCATCATACCTGGCATAAAAATACATTGATTTAACAGTGTCTTTGTCTTAATTTTCTTATCAAGGTTTCCAAGTTATGTAGAACTTAAAGTTGTTTGTTTTCTTCTTGTAAAAAAAAAATTTTAAAGTCTTAACTATCAGGTAAATGTAAATTTTTATCTCTAGCCCTGATATTCATACTCACATGTATACCTCTTCTTCAATGTGTAATATATATCTCAAATATCTCAAATGTAAGATGTCAAAAAGAGCTCTCAATTTAACTTACTCAAATTATTTCTCCTGATTCTCATCACAGTATGCTTGCTACACCTCTGTCCTTGCAGCACCAAAATTATTCCCTCTTCTTCTCACCCTTAAATCAAATTTTCTCAGTTCTACCATTAAAATGTATCCCATATATTTTCATATATTTTCACTCTATTACTATAATGAATAAATGAGATTGGTCAACAGTTTCCTTTTTTGTTCAATATTCATGAGGTTTTGATATAAAGTTACATCATTTTATTCAGTAAGCTATAGATCTTCCACTTCCTCTTGATTTTCAAATGTTGATTCCAAGGGGTCGCATAGATTATTTTGCTAATAAATTATTTTAATCTTTATCACATTTGATAGCTCTTTTATTCCCAATATTGTATGTTTTTTGTATTTAATTGGAGGTTTTATTACCTTTTATTTAAAGATAAAACCCAATAAAACAAAATAATAAATTGGATCAGAACAAAGCAGTGAAACTGGTACAGAACTTCAAAGTAGGATAAAAGGAAAACCACAATGGCTACCACAGTATATCTTGTTATGTTCATAATAGTTGTCCATTCCATCAGATATAGAAAATCAAACCAAAACAAAGCAGAATATTGAATAAAGCAAAACAATAGAACGATATTGGACTTCAGAAACAAGATAGAAGGAAAGGAAATCCCCCATAATTGCTATATTGCATACTGTTATTTTCTCTATAGATGATTAGACCACCAACCCCTGGACTGCAAAATCAACCAAAAAATAAAAGCATTCAGTTGCTTTTTATACTTCAGTTGCTATCAACTTGGCCTGTCTTCTGAACCAGCTGGTTGCTAACAGGGGAGTGGGGGGAGGTTGTTTTAGTGATTCTCAGCCTGTGTGCCAGTAGGCTCACCGGAGGAGGTGCTATCTGATTTTTCTCTTCTTGGGCCCAGTATGGCCTGCGCAGCTTACCAGAAAGGCTGGCTAGTTGGCTTCTTGGTCGGCTCCTCCCAGGCTCTGGGGTGGAAGAGGGGGAAAGGAGTTGTCTGACTTTTCTCTTCCAGGGCCCTGCATGATCTGCCTAATTGGAAGAACATTGACTTTACAAAGAAATAACTTTTGTATTCAGTTTTGTTTGCAATTGTATTAATTTATGATTTTATATTTCTACATTTACCCTCTAATTATTTTTGTTATTTTCCATATTGTTAAGAACTAAATTCTTTTTAAAATTTTCTCTTTTTTAACAATCAAGATGCCTAAAGCTATACATTTTTCTCTTGTGTTTAGCTTTTAGAGGGCTCCATTACCTTTGGCATAAAATTTTCTTTTTCATTAAGTTTATATAGTTAACAGTTTTTCTTTTTACTGTTTCTTCAGCAAAAGGAGTGTATTTTTAAAATTCTAAGTGGTTACAATTTTCATAGCTAACTTCTATTAATTAGTTTTAATTTTTTTGAGTTATAAGAAAATGTAGCCTGTGAAATTCTTTATTTTAGAATTCTGTTAAGGTTTTCTTTGTGGTCATGTACATTATTGCTTTGAACAAGTGAACATTCAAAGTATATGTGTTCACATTATTATGTATTTATTATGCACATTCAAAATTTTTGTCTTTATCTTTTATCTACTGGATCCATCCAACAATAACCCAATAATAATATTTATATTTTTTCACATTTCCCATGTATCTCTACTTATTTTTATTTATATATTTAGCTTAGTATTAGCACCTATATTATTATATGCTAGCCCTTCTTACCCTGAGTAGTCTCCTCATCCTGTTTTTACACTTATATGGTACATTATTAGTTGTCAGTATTGGCACTTTTACCTTGGTTTGGCTTCCACTTGCTTGGTTTCTGTTTGCTTGGCTGAAGTTTTAGGAGTTAACTCATTTAAATAACATTGGCTATCTTATGACAGTCGAGTTTCAACTAGTAATTTTATCATCTTTACTTAATAAAGTTAAAATAACCATTACTCATTTAATACTGTCTATATTACAAAGTAAGGAAAGAACCAAGAATACAACAAGCTTTGAAGAATGCCAATATTTAAGACATGCCTGGAACCCACAAGGTAAAAGTAAAAAGAGCCATATAATAGAGTAACTTTAATAGGAAATATTACTTGCATATTTGGGATCTTACATAATGACTAAATTCATTTAGTTGCTTTAATTATTTAAGGAAAGAGCCACATACTGAATCAAGTAGCCAACCCATGCCTTTCTGTGAGCCAGCCAGTGTGCAGGCTGGGAGACAAGCAGAGCAATGCTCCACCCACCCTCCCTGGTAAGCAACGAGCTGATTAGGAGGAACTCAGGCTGAGATAACAGCAACTGAAATTGAAAAAATGACTTAATACTTGTATTGTTTGGTTGACTTTGTAGGCCTAAAGCTGGTAGTCTGAGCATGTATTTGGAGGATCACAATATGCATTACAGCAACTGTGGGGATTTCTTTGTCTTGTTTTTCAAATCCAGTGTTTCATTGTGTTTATTGTTTTGTTTTATTCCTATATTTAGTAACTGGAGCAACTATTTTGAAGATAACTATATGCAATATAACAACCACTGTTAAATTCCTATCATCTCATTTTGGAAATCCTACATTGCTATTATTTGTTGTTGTTGCTGTTGTTGTCATTTTACTTTTGTTGTTTTTTTTGGGGGGGTTGTTTTATTTGAGGTTTTTTTGGTTTGTTTGCTTCTTGATTTCTCTGTTTTTTCTATTTAAAAAAGGATCCTCATATTACACATATTTATAACAAGTGATTTTTAAACTTGTTACCCTTAAGAGCTCCTTTATTAGTACTTATTTGCTGTCTTTTTAAATAATAAAAACTTACTTGTTGACCACACGTTCTCCAAAGTTAAGATCTATTTCAAAAAAACATAAATTTTATTTTATTTTGTATAACTTTTTTTTCTTTAAAATACATTAAAACATGTTTGAAATATAAATTTTCAAAATAGATGCTTACTTTCTACAAAGCAAGTGTATAGAGTATAGTGTTTGCTATAATTATTCCATCTTACTGTCTGTCTCTCACAGATTTGTGCGCCTCTGAAGGGAATGTTAATTGTGATATGTTACACAGGAGAATCAATTAGAAAATAAGCATAAACCAAACTTATGTCCATATAGTAATGATACATAGATATTCACCCATTACAAACTAACAGGAGTTCAAGTTATTTGGCAAATGAAATAATGATAACTTATGAAGTGATGTCAAATAATTCATTAAGTAAATTTTAATTGAGCACTTGTTACACACCAGACACTGTACTAGATGTAACACAGGCCAAAAATATAAATACCCATGGCTTAAGGTATTTTACATTCTACTGGGGACAGAAAAATAACCAAGAAAAATAAATTTTATTTATTTTGATTTTGTGGTGCTGGGTATCAAACCCAGGGCCTCACTTATGGAAAATAAATTTTATAATATGCTAGATAGCACTAACTGTTAATGAAAAAGACAGCAGAGATATAATATATTCTTGGAAGAGATCTGTCCAATAATGAGAAACTACCAGTATAATGGTATTCTCAATGGTATTACTAATTATATTTGGTTTACCTGTTTAGCTTAGTATATACACTAACTCAAATTTTAAAAGGGAAAGGCTCACTGTGAGAGAAATTTTTAAGTAAGGATTTGAGAGAGTGAACTACCATGATCTAGCAGAAGGAAGTAAGGAGCAAATGTGTTGAGGAAAAGAATGTGCCCAGTTTGTTTAAAGAACAATGAAGATGCCAGTGTGTCTGGATTGAGACCAAAAGGACCAGAAGACGACTGAAGGCTTGGGGAAAGCAGATCCTGAAGGCTCTTGCAAGGAAATGAAATAATTCTTCTGGCTTTTCATTCTGAGTCTTCCAACTCAGGCCAATTTCTATGAGATGAAGAAAGAAAGCCATTGGAGGGATTTGAACAGTTGAGAGACTTTGTATTTTAATGGGCTCATTCTGTTCTATAAAGAATAGATTGGCATAGTAGAAGCAGAGAGATAGCCCAAAAGTTCTTGCAGTAGCATCTGTTGAATTTTTGTTTCTCTGGCTTTCATCACTGTATTGCCAGTGCCAGGCATATAATTGGCAATCATAAGTCAGTAAAACTATGAATATTTGCTTAATAAGGAAATTATGTGCAGCTTTGCAGAGCAACAAGAATACACAAAATATACATTCAAAAATCATAACTGCATATAATGATCTAAATGCAAATATCAGTAGATCACTTTTATAATCTATTCAGTTGTAATGAATTTTTTACTGCTATAAATATAAATAATGTATCATCAATTTTCAACAGATGTCAGAACATTTATATCCAAGAAGTTTATCTTTAAATAATTATTATTTAGAATATAATTTTTTTAAAATCATTATTGTGTATAATATTTTGCTGATGTAAAATATTAACTAATATATTAAAGTTAAAAAATATCTCATATTGGAAAATATCAATCAACTGACTCTCTAAATGAACATTAAGTACTCTCTGTGCAGAACTAAAAATACAGTCAGTAACATGACTCTTGGTCTCATTTTTTTACATTAGCTGGAAATTTAAAACTTTTTGAACATCACAAAAATACAGGATAAATGTATGGAGGACATTTAACTTCATCTAGAGAGTTAATAATGACTCGACTGTGTAGAATTACAGAATCTGAGACTTACAGAATAAAATATAAATTGGACAGGCCATGGGGATTAGGGTCTGAGGAAGGAGAAAAAGGAACCTGAGAATGACTGGGAGGATATTTAAGTGAAACAACTCCAGAATACCAGAGAACTGGGTAAGAATGACACACAAAATTAAGCCTTTGGGCTTTATCTTTGGAAATGGGAGGTCTCTGAAAGATTTTGATAAAGAGAATGGCATGATTATGTTTAAGTTTCTAAATATCACTCTAGTTATAACATGGAGAAGGGATTAGAGGAGAGCAAGGATAGATATATAGGCACCTAGTAAGTGACTAGTATATTTGGAGAGAAAAGTGGCAGTGGTTTTGGTTAGTATTGTGGAGGTTTGGATGCACATAGGTATAGAAAATTGAGAGGTCATTGAAAAGTAGAATAAATAGAATTTGTTGCTGGATTGGAGTAAAGGCACAAAAAATTTTCAAAAACATTACTTGCAAATAGCAACTGAGCACCTGGTGTGGACAGGGGTGTCATTCAAAGGGACAGGATCAAGGCTTGAGAGATGGGAAGTAAACAGTTTCATTTTGGAGAAATTGAGTTTGAGATAACTATACAACATCTAAGGGGAGAAGTCCAGTGAACAGCTAACTACATATGTTTGGAGCTCTAGACAGAAATATAAACCATAATATAAACACAGCTTGTTTTATTAGCATCTTCTGTAATTAATAATAATGCCCAAACCATAGGACTCCGAAAAGTGACAGTAGTCATTCTTCTGGAAAATAAGCAAATGTCTGATGTTTGCTTTATATATGTTTTACTCAAAGGACTTAGTTTCATCATAATTTTGGTTAAAGTCACTCAGAAATGCAGAATATTTATCCAGTGAAAATATAGTCACAAAAGAAAAATAACACTTAAAATATAGTTTAAACTTTTAAGACTAAATTTAATTTAAATATATATAAACTCTATCACATCATAGCTTATTATAACATGAATTTGTGTCTAAAAGAATCAAATGCTATCATTGAAATACAGTAACCCATTAAAATATGGCTTCCTATGAGCAGTCATTTACCAGTAAATGTGTAATACCAACTCTTTAGGTAAAAAAAGGCCCTATTTCTGAGACTTGCCCATTTCTGTGCTGTAAACACACTCATAATGGCCAATTTCACGCTATCAGCAGAACATTAACCACACAGCAAAATTCCTAAAAATTTTATAATTGGTTCTTTTAAGCTGGTATGCAGCAGATTAATCTTAAGGGATTACTAAGAGTTTCCACCTAAATATTGTAAGATACCACACTGTATGTATACATATATGTGTTTGTTTGTAAATTTTACATATTGATAGGTAATCATTTATAGGATATGAAATTCAGAAATTAAAAATGGTATACAGTGGAGACTGTCCCACCCATCTCTTTCCATGAACCACCATATTCTTCTTTTATACAACCAATTTTAATACATTACTTATTATCTTTCCAGAAGTATTCTTTTAGATTTACGTAAGTATTCTTTTTCCATTTCAAAAAAAGCAAAGATGGTGGCATAGTGTAATTTGTTTTACACCTTGCCCATCTGTCATTGAGCAATACAACTTGGAGATGATTCTATATCAGTGTATAAAAACACGCCTCTTATTTCTGGCCATTTTGCAGCACCACAATGCTGCAGTGAATATCTCCACTTACATATCATTTCATAATTGTGAACATATATATATATATGCTTCAGGAAGATTTTGAGCAGTGAGAGAATTAAAAGCCCTAACTCTGTCTTCAATTATTACTGACATAATCATGTCATAATGTCGTATTACCTGTACCTGAAGGTTGGCTTGTTGAGGCTTTCACAACTGGGCCAAATGGGGTGGGTGGAATAAATTCATGCCGGAGACTAAAGAGATCACAAGAAAGACGAGGCACAGTGGAAGATAAATAAAAAGTGGAAGATTTATGTGACCTGAAACACATATATCTTACCTAGTTGAGCATACATGTCTTTGATTCACTCATCTACCAAACTATTTTACTGTGAAAAAATATAGTTAACATTAGTCAATGGATTTATTGGCTAACTTACGAATGAACAATATATGATCTTGTAGAAATACTGAAAAATACAAAAAACACAAAGAAGAAAAATGAAATCAACCATAATTATCCCACTTGGAGATAACCATTGTGAATATTTTAAGGTGATATACCTCAAATTTTGTATTATTCAATTTGTGTGTATATGCATATATACAGAAGTATATGCATGTGTGTATATATATGCATGTACATGTATAGACATGTTTTGAATGTTAGTATGTGTACTGTTATGTAAATGAAAAATTTGCCATGCCATTAAAGAATCTTATATAATACTTATTCTTATTAGAGATGTCCTTATCACAGGGAATCGAATTCCTGAAAAGAAGGTGATATTTCTATCTCAACTTCTGACTTTGAGAATTATCCATTTCAATAAAAGATACTCCTTTGGAAAGAGTGCGGAATCCCACAAAAGATTTACAAATTTGTTACATATCATTTACAATAGGTGGAGTGGATTCCATTGTAGTCACAGGCCTTTATTTAGTCATCTTTTTAAAACATTTAGGCTGAAGGAAACAATTTAGCAGGAAACAAAATTAACCAATACTAAGACATACATTAACTTACCTGTAAGGCGATAAATCGTCATTTTTCTTTTCCAAATAAGTTAAATGCTGTTTTAGTGCTTCAGTTAAACTGTGGGGTGCCTAAAATGTTATTAAAGATTTAGTCCATCAGTGGATACATTCACTCATGAAGTTAGAACCTCACAATCCAATCATTTCCAAAAAATGCATCAGCGACCAACTAAGCTACTAGCACATGGCTTTTGGGGAGAGCATTTATGTTTAAACTGTAAGATATGTTGGTCAGCTTTTTTGCTACTGTCAAAAAACATCCAAGATAATTAACTTAAAAAGAAGAAATGTTTATAATAGTTCCTCATTTCAAAGGTTTTGGTACATGCTCACTTGGTCCTTGGTACTCGTAAGAAAGGTAGTATAATTTTAAGTACATATTGACAAAATTTTCATACAAGACTCTTAGCTTCTCTCTGCTTCCTGGCTGCCATGAGGCAAGCAATTTTTCTTGTACCTTCACTTTATTCCATGATGATCATGCCTCACCATATGTATAAAAGAAACAGACCCAGCCAACCATGGACCAAAACCTCTGAAATCATGATCTAAAAGAAATATTTTAAATTGATTTTCTCAGATATTTTCTCACAGTGAAAAAATAAAAGAAAGAGGAAAGAAAGAAAGAAAGAAAGAAAGAAAGAAAGAAAGAAAGAAAGAGAACCTAAGTCAATACTCTAACTCTTAAAGGTTCCAGCACCTCTCAGTAACATTACACAGAGGACAGACCTCCAGCACAAGAACTTTGGGGGACATACTATGTCTAAACTATATCTAAATCCTAACAGTAACCTAGAATTAGACTCATTCTCTTGAATACAAACTTATGGAATGATAGTAGTAACAACAATAACAGTGATTAACATGTACTGAATTCAAAGTAATGCAGCTAATGAATGGTGGAATCAGAATCCAAACCTAAGCATCTAACTCCAGAATTTGTGGTGTGAACTATAATAGTGCAAAGTTCATGTGAACAATGTTCAATTTTGTTCATGTAACTGGAAAGTTCTATGGATTCAGTTAGGTACAACTAGGTTCAAGAATTCTAATGTTGCCCTTAGCATCTTAGGTTCCTTTTGGTTTCATCGTCAGTAAGGCTTTTATAATATAATAAAGATGGCCAGTGAAAGTTCAAGACTTGCCTTGTTACATTTACAGACAGTGATATCAGCATGGGAGGGAAGCCTCTTTCCCAGTACTTCCTGATGTTTGGTGTGGCAGATAGGGAGGACATAGCATCTGTCTTGCCTAATCCACTTAGAAAAGGGTCCTGGCCCACATGAAAGAAATCTTTTATCAGAAAGAAGAATGGAAAGTACATCCAGGATCCACAAACACAGGCTTCTATAACCAGGTCCTGAGAAAGGCAGACTTGGGCTGCTGCAGGACACCATCAGGATGAGGATGTATGCAGATATTTACTTGAAGTGTGGGTTGGGTTAGGGGTGATTCGGGGAAGATAAATAACATTTGTCAATATTTGAGTGATGTTCGTCGAGAGGGGCTCGCCTGCTCGATCTTCAGATAATTCAGTTAACGATATGCCGAAACGCTGCCAGCCCAGCAGAGCAGCAATGAACCGCAGAAACCTGCTCTGAGCTGCTCTGCCACAGACGTCCCGGGGCCAGGGATCTGGCTATCGCACCTGCCCAACCGAACCCAGTCCAGCCCAGGCGAACCCAGCCCCATCCGAGCCCATCAGAGCCCAGCCCAGCCCAGCGGCGGAAAGAGAAAGAGCCGGGCTGACCTCGCCCCACAGCGGTGGGCGTCCCCCCAACAGGGACGCGGGGAGGGCCACGGGGGAGGGGCGCACACCGCAGCTGCTCAGAGGGAGGCTCTGTCCCTCCCAGGTCAGTCACAGCCAACGCCAGGGCAGCCAGCTCAGAACAGAGTGAGGCTTCCTCCCGCGGAATGCAACCGCAGAGGGCGCGCTCAGGGGCCACGCCCTGGAGCTTTGGTTTGGAGGAGAGCACAGCTCACTGTGGTAGAGGAAGTCACCCCCAACCCCTCCCCAGCCCTTTGCCCCCAGCCCTGTTTCTATTTTTATTTCCAGACAAGGTCTCGCTAAGCCTTCCAGGCTAGGCGCCAGCTTGCAATCCTCCTGCCTCAGCCTCCTAGAGTGCTGGGCATAGGGGTGCAACGCCACCACACCTGGCTATGAAGGAGGACCAAAGCAACATCCGCCCTTTGTGAGACTGGCTCAGAAGGCTCTTTGAAACCGTGCACTGCTTTCTGCAGCGCTCGCGCTCTCTCTCTCTCTCTCTCTCTCTCTCTCTCTCTCTCTCTCTCTCTCTCTCTCTCTCTCTCTCTCTCTGTCTGTCTGTCTCTCTCACGCACGCAAGCACGCACTGCCTGAGTGCAGCAGAGGCGGGGACGACCCCTACCCCATGTGGCAAGAGCGCAGGATTCCCGAGGAAGTGCGTGGCCTCTGAGAACTTCTGCCAGGTGAAGCCCGGACCCTGTGGTAGCTGTGCTGGCTGCGAGCCAGGCCCAGCTGCGCGCTGCCAAGCGGGTTCTTCCTGGAAATGGCTGCTCTGATAGGACTACTCAGGGTACATGCGGGTCAGGTGGCTGAGTGCGCAGCGCAGGGGGGTCGCCAGGGCCCGTCTTGGCCACCTTTGCTGCACTGACACCTTCGAATGAGACCACACTCATGGCCGTGGGGAGATAGATGCCTCAGAGGACCAACTCTCAGCTCATTTGCTTTTCGCAATACTGTTAGCAAACAGGCAATAGCATCACACCCTTTCACAGCTGCACAAATGAGGAAGCAATAATGGAAACCCATTGCTTGAGATCATACAACTAAAAGGTGGAAACGGCAACCCTCAAACCTTTTAATGAATCTAAGTTTATTATTCGAAATATGCATTAACACTGACTTTTTTTTGTCCATTTTAAAAGCAGGATCTAGCTACTTTATACCATGAGACACTGTATGTGAATATGGAAAATGTTACTTATGGGGGGAAGACTATATGACAGAAGATATGGTACATGACAGATGTAGTATGACAAAAAAATGTAGGTGCATGGCAAAAAGATGGATTCTCAGGTGAAGATTAACATAATAAATACAGACACACACATACCAGAAAAAATAATTTAAATAAGTAGGACACTGACCTGAGTAAGATACGGAAGGTTGCTCTGGTAAATTCCAACTTGCTGAATTCACAAAAAAAAAAGGAGAAAAAAGATATACATTACAGCAGGGAATTATACCAAAAATATAACTGTGTGACTACTGTATACATGAAAGAGAAATACTCCAAGAATATGATGTTGTCCTGAGTTAGATCAAGAAAATATGCTAGATAAAATTATGCATTGTACATTTGAGGACCAATTTCTATTCACCCTAAGGACAGACTTTAACACTTGTCAGGAATTTACTCTTTGCTGTTTGGGGAAGAATTAAACTATATTTTAGCTGTCAGACAAATGTGTCCTAATTTTTCAAGTAGTGTAGTCAGAAGTCTATCATTATTCATATTGTTGTTCTCTTCTGGGTAAAATGTCTTTGTTCTCCTTGGTTTTCAGTGGTGTTACTACCACTTGTCTAGGAGTGGTCCTCTATCTTCTTGGGTTCCACTGAGGATAAGGAAAACATGAGGCTCATGTCAGGTATTTCTCTCACTGACTACAGACCTGATCCACCTATTGTCCACTGCCTCAAGACAAGACAGATCATGTACCTTTTAGTATAGTTTGGGAGCTGTTTCTGGTGGGAGAGGAAGCCTGATCCTGTTTATCCTCATGGCTGCAGACAGAGATTTTTGTGAGATTGCTTTTGAGCACAAGTGCATTGGATACTGCCTATGAAGTACCTTATTGTAGTTTTTAGTTTTACTGTCTGCAAAGTAGTCAAAACTACTACAAATTTCTTCTGTGTGATAATAATGTTGAAGAAAAAAGTGTAGTTACATCTGTTGCTAAATTTAAGAGAAATAGCAGAAACTCTTTGGATAGAAGTAGATTTCTTTACCTCTGCAACTTTCAGGAACTGTGTCAATTTGGTTGTTCTTCCAAGGAATTTGATGTAAATATCCAAACTTTCCTTGCATTGGCTTCGCCTCATGTTAAAATACTTGTCTAAATATAGAAAAAAACTACCATAAGATGAAAGTCAGAAAAGTCTTATTTGATTTGGTGAAAATAAGCTTTAATGCATTTTATATAAATGTGGAAATGCATGTTGATTCTCTGGTAATTCCTCAGAAATATCAGTTAGCAGTCACAAAAAATGGAAAAGGTATGTGGCTATTTTTAACTACACAAATAATGTAATATTTCATTGTTTAAAAATATATATTACCCTACAAAGATCTGTTTTGACTCTATATATAGAAATGAAAGCCTTTTACAAATATTTTTTTTACCAAAATTTTATCCTCTTACTTTTAAAGTAAGGTTGTGGTAAGCTGGAGTCATTTTGAGGTAAATGGATGCATCTCAAGACCATAATTTTTTTTGTCTTTTTCCTTTTTATCAGTACTGGGGATCGTAACTCACGACTGCCTGCTTGCAAGGCAGGCGCTTATGCCGCTGAGCTAAATCTCCAGTCCCCAAGGCCATAATTTTAAGTGAAATAAATCAGATACATCAGTTTAGATATTGCATTGTTTCTCTTATGAGTAAAACAGAGTAAATAAGGAGCAGAATGTGGACAGATATTGAGAAGTAGGAAGAATATGTTCAAATGGGGAAAGGAACAAGGGAGGAGGCAGAGGAAGGGAGGAGAGAGAAATGGGATTTTTAAAAGAGAGAACAGAAGGAAAAAATGGAAAGAAAACATTTGTAAATGAGGATAGGAAGAGGGGTTGAAGGGAGAGAAGGTGAATGGGAAGAAAAGAATTAAGATGTATTACACACTCTTACAGATTCCCTATGATGAATGAGATCATTATGTATGGCAAATATGCACCAAGAAAAAATTAAAAATTAAAAAAATAAACAGACTCCCTCTCTGAAGTAATGTTTATGCCTTATCATACCTAGCAGATTAAGGATTCCTTCATTGTAGGCTGCAAAGAGACGAAGAGAATCTTTAAAGAGCAGCATGAAAGCAGCATGTATTATACCATTACTTAGTTCATCTGGATTTGCCTGGAAATTAAAAAGGAAAGCAGTTACTCTAACAGTTAAAAATAAATCCTTCCTCCATCTATAGTTTAATCATGTCATTTATCAATATTTTTAAAAGTTTGTACAAATCTCTTACATTAAAATTAAGAAGAGCATCAAACTGAGTTTGAATAACTGGAAGTGTGTTTAGCAGTTCTTTGGTATTCATAGTTCTCATTACACCATCTGCCCTATAAAAGATGCAAGAAATTCATAAACATCAATAATTAAGGGGTTGTGAATCCCCATGACATTAGCATCTTGAAATAGAGATGTGTTTTGACAGACTATAAAGCAGAACACATGTGTCAATATTCACTTACAAACTAAAGTTTTTGCTTACCCTCTCTTGGTTTTAGTAATGTCAGATGCTATCAATCTATATGCAAGTGACTTTTCATTCAAGTACCTGCTGTATCGTCTGATGAAAGTTGACATAGTATAGCCTAAAAATGAGATGTGTTTATTATGTCCAATGCAACCAAATTAACCAGTTACAATATGTCCACAAATGCAAAGACTTAACAATCCATATTTACCAAGATACTGCTAGAAAATAAAGCACAAAAGCTAGAATGCCTTTATTAGTTACCTAGTTTTATGTCCCTCAAGTATCCAGTTAGAGATAGTTTTATTTTATATCACCTTCTGATGTAGTATTGATGGTAACACTTCTGAATAAGGAAAGCAACTGAACTTCAACAGATCCTTTCATAGGGAATTACTGTAAACTTAGCATTTTCCTTACTACCCCCAGCCCACTATACCACCCCCTCCAATCTCTCCCCATGCAACAAATGAACTTGCTTCCATAAAGCAGAGAAAGACCACAGCAGAAATTCAACATATCATTAGCAACCTTCAAGTGCACTTTGATTCGTTTATTCAATTTATTCATATACTGAACAATTACTGAGCACCTGCTCCAAGCCAGGTCATCTTGTAGGTGCTGGAATTTCAGCAGCAAATGAAGCAAAACAGGGAAAAGTCTGCCCTCGTAGGCCTTATATACCAACAGTGAGCAACAGGAAGTAATGCAAAAGAAAAAAATAAATGGTGAGAAGTGGAAAACGTAAAACTTGGACAGAGAGGTGGCATAAGGATGTGCTTTGATTTTTGATAAGCTACACAAGACCTCACTGAGTAAATACCTAGAGATCTCATTAACATTCCTGTCTCTACCGCACAGTATATTTTGCTATTCCTAATAAGCGTCCGACTATGTATTATATCAATGAATTTAGGAATTATTTCATAAAACGTACATCACACCACACCTTTCATAATTTAGAACCATTTTCTTAACTAAGCATGGTTTCTTTCTTGCCTCATAGAAATGTTCCCATCAAAAACTCATCTTACCTTCTATGACACTGTCATCCAGAAAGTTGTGTAAAGTAAACAAAGAGTTTCGAGATGCAAGGTGTTGGATAAAACGCTGTCAAACAAATGTGCCAAATTCGAAAATTAACTTTTGCATACAAAGAGAGTTCATTAATCAGCATGATCATATATCTATATATCATGGGCTTGCCAACATAAAATAAAACAACTATGGTGTCATGAACTGTCCTCTATTTATAGAAACAACATTAAACACTGAAGCTCATTCAACATGCGCTTTTCCCCCAAGACGTTTTTGGAATTTTGTTAGGTTGTTTGTTTGTTTGTTTGTTTGTTTGTTTGTTTTGAGTGAGAGTCTCATTGTACAGTTCAGGCTGTCCTTGAACTCCTGAAGATCCTTCAGCCTCACCCTCCCAAGTGCTAGTACTATAGGCAGGAACCACTATGACCAGCTCCCCCCAAGACATTTTGCTAGCCATAACCCCCTTTTGAATCACAGCATAATACAAAGTATAATATGATACATCTTTGTTCCCCTCTACCTAAAAATGACAATTGCTTAAATTTTTTACATATTTGCTTCGACTATTTTTAAAATAAAAGTAATAAAATATTACACATAATGCTAAAGACTTACCTTATCCTCAAGATCCATTTCTTCTCCTATCTAGAAGTAACTGGTATCATAATTTTAATGCATTATCTTTACAATCTATTTTCTTTACAAGTCTAAGTATATTTGTTCCATGGAAAAATATTATATTTTATTTTACATAAATGGCACTGTAGTTTAAATGTCATTCTACAATTTGCTCCGCTATCAGCATAGAGACCCAGTCTTGTTGGTACACTCACAATTGAATTTTAGCCTACATATGTCTCTTCTCCAGAGGAAAACCCGCAGCAGCTATTCATTTCTTTCACTCATTAGCTCGTTATTGCCTTTTTGCTTCCAATTATGTATTCTGGTGATTACTTGCTAGTCTGTAATATATATGTTGGAAATAAATTCTTTTAACTTTATGGTATCTTTTCTATCCAAATGTCATAAACATGACACATTTATAGCATACCTGTATTTATAGCAGCACAATTTTTAATAGCTAAATCTTAGAAACAGCCCATGTGTCCATCAACAGATGCATAGGTAAAGAAAAGGTGGTATTTACAAGAGTACTACTCTGCCATAAAGAAGGATAAGTTTGAGTCACAGAAAATTGGATGCACCGTTAGACTATAATCTTAAGTGACATAAATCAGACACACAAGTTTAAATATCACATTTTTCTCTTGAAATAAGAAGCAAAATGGAAGACAGATATGAGGAAGTAGGAAGAACTTGTTCCAATGGGAAGAGAAACGAGACAGGAGCAGGGGGAACGAAGAAAGAAAAAGGTGATTTAAAGAAAAAGAAGAACTGAAGGAAAAAATAGAAACAGTGCTTTTGTAAATGGGGAGGTGACTAAGGGTTGGAGGGGAGGGAAAGGGGACAAAAAAAGAATTAAGATGTGCTATGTACATGTACACATCCTCCATGATGAATATGATCATTATGTACTCAAACATATATGAATAAAAAAATAAAAATAAACATAGTATCTTGCATTTTCTTCAATTTCAAAATTTAGTTTTTCATATTTATGTATTTCATCCATAAGGAAATTTATTCTCATATATGGAGTAAGAAAAGGATTTCATTGTTTTTTTCTGCTGGAATGCCATTTGTGAAGGCTTTATTTTAAAATCTTTCCTCTGTATTTTCCCCATGAATTGTTAATATTACCAATCTCCCATATAAGTATGGTTTTAATTGTGAGCACTGTTACGTTCTAGCTATATGTATGCTCTGTTTTTTAATAATACATACTGTGTATTGTTGCTTTATAAGTTTCCAAATACTCCTATTTCTGCACTTTAATTTTAATGTAAATCTTACTGAGACAAAGTGTGAATTTAAATAGAAAATATTTTAATGTCAGACTATTTCAATTCTGTGAAATATGAGAAGTGTATAATACAATATACTCACCTGTCTAGTCCCCACCCCAGAAAGTAAAGCAGTTATGCAATAATGTATTTGGGGGAGGTGATATAAATTATCTAAGGAGTTATCTAACTATTCTCTGCATTATTTACCAGGGACTGCTCATGTGTAAATAGTATACCCCAAAGCATGCTGACTTCATAGATCTAATAAGTAAAACAAAAACCTTCACTTCTTCCACTTGTTGCTAATGAAACTAAAAGATGGGAAACCCTTGACAAAGCACAACTATTCTGTATTTGTTCACCTATGACCCTTTGCATTAGAAGGACAGAAACAACAGCCACAGGCGTATGCACCACCACACTCACCTCATTTCCATGCACCATAAGGTGATGTATGGTAACCAGGGCTTTGAACACCACCACCCAGCTGCTGCTCCCAGTTTTCTCAGAAAGAATATTAGCCAGGTGTTCAACACTCATATTTGTTTCATTTATGTACTGTGTTAGATCTAAATTAGAGAAAGTGACAAACATTGCGATACAGGCTGAGAATTTTCAATTCACATCATATAACCTCTCCCAAAATTAACATTCATTTAATTTCCTCATCCAACTATCTGCAACATATAAAGGATAAACTTAGGTCATTTGTGGGAAAGTAGATATACCTTGAGACCATGATGCTAATAAACCAAACATATAAGCTTAAATATTGTGAAGTTTCTCTTATATGAGAAACACTAAGTGTAAATAAAGAGCAGAATAAGAGGTGATAGAAAACAGGGAGATGGGTCTTTTGCAAATGGAAAGGAGACAAAGAGATGGAGGAAAGAAGAAATAAGGGAATGAAAAAAGAATGAAGATGTGTTACTACTGCCCCACAATGAACGTAACCATCACAAGTAGCAAACATGTACTAATAAAAAATATGAATTAAAAAAGTAATTATTCCTTATTTTTATCATTTAAAAATCCTGTTTTCAAAACTGTGTAAAGATTCTCATGACAAGATAATTTCATCTATAGCACTTATTCATTTATCAGCATTTTTGTATGCACAGCACTGAGATAAATACCAAAGAGAGTCATTAACAAATATGTTAGTGAACTAGAGCATTACGCTGACCCTAACTGTACACCCAGATTCACTTACTCACCAACAGCATATACTTGGGGTCAATCTTAGTATCTTCTAGCTGCTGTATCATGTTTAAGTGTTTGAAGAATGAAATTCCTTCCTTCATAGTCACCTATAACTCTGCCTTACTTCCTTTTCTGTAAGTTTTCTCTGAAGGCTCTTTGTGTACTTTTCCCCAATTATTTCAGCTTGTATTAAGCCTCAGACTCAAAGGCCCCTTTTCCTTCCTTGTCTCTTCAGATAGCTAATTGTTGTTTGTCCTCTGGGTCCTGAGGACCCAGTTTTGGTACATAATTACATACCTATCCAGGGGTTGGATAGTGTAAATTTTTCCCAGAATGTACTATAAAGACTGCACAGAATAATGCTCAGCATGTTGAAAATTATGAAGGAAATCAATATGTTTAACTCACTGAACTGTTGGTTGTTACAACACATGCACATTATCATAAGATAAAACTTCTGAAGTCAAATGCAGATTAAGTCACTACAAAAATTTCAAGTAAAATAAGGGTGTGATCAGAGGTGTGGCTCAATGTGGAACTCTACAGCAGTAGGATTGCTGTGTATCATTGATAAAGTTACTGTTCAATTCGAACTGGAATAAAAGTAGTCAGGTTAGACTGGAAGTCCCTCCTCTGAGCAACAGTTCACTTTAATAATCAAAAAATTTCGTCTAGAAACACACAGACAGAAATGTTGCTGTGACACTCTAAAAGCTATATAATGGGTGCCCTACTAGGAAGATCTATAAATTGTACTCAGTAGAATTTCTTTATGGTGTTTCTGGAAACTCGTTGAATGTCCCATTTTTAGAAGGGTGGGGTGGGCTTGAGACTTCTAAGCAGCCTGGATTGTTATTCCACCACCTCTGTCTTCTATCTAAATCATGTTAACAACGTCTAGCTCTTTTGGTATTTGGTGTTATAAAAAACGCCGTGCATCTGACTGCTCAATTTAGGGTTGCTTCCTTTAGTACTTCAAATTTTCCCTCTTACATGGGGGCAGTGGGCTCGGGATTGGAGGCCAAGGCGCTGTCCTTAGAGGATCTCCCCTACTCACACCACACTGGTTGTGTGATCCACGACCGGTCTTCCTACTCACCGGCCAGGTGTTTCGCCCCTGGTTCCCTGGGCTCATTGGTGGTGGCCCCAAGGGCAGCCTTGGACGCAGAGGATCCCATGTGTGCGTCGCTGACTGCCAGGCACGAGGGTGATGACTGCGACGTCAGGCCCCAGACCTGCTTCGTGCCCAATGGGGACCCGCGCCTCCAACAGTGGACCACTATTCACCCTTATTACAGATAAGGAGCCCCAGTGATGCAAGAAAGGCCTGACCTGTCAAGTGGCCTGGTGCTTCTCACTAGGCAACCTTTTCTTCATGCAGCATGACGCAGACCCCCCCGCATTGTGAGTTGGAGCCTGAACTTACAAGGTGCTGGGTCTGGTGCCAACACCGGAAAAGGTGGCTGTGAGGTGCAATGAGACCCCTGAGACGATTCTCCGGGTTCGGGTGGGGCATCTCCAGCGGAGCTCTTGCTCAATGCCAAAATTAATTTGTCAAAACAAAATAAAGAATATTAATGATATTTCCTTTTGTAGCGTCTAATCTGCTGTCAGTCCCATCTCGAACATGTGCTGTTTTCATTTCTAAAAGTTCCATTGGGATCTTTTTGTATCTTCCAGTACCCTTTTCATTAGGTTCACATTTTGCTTTAGCCCCCTTAAGATATTTATAATATAGTGGCCATTTAGAAATGTGTACTAATTTATTGTCTTTAACATTTTGTGTTATATTTCTATTGATTTTTTTTCCTTGAGTATCACTCGCATTTTTCTATTGCTTCCTGTGCCCAGAAATTTGTTTCAATGGCAGACATTTTAAATTTTGCTTTGGAAAAATTTTGATTTGGTATTCTGACATACACCTTTGAAGAATGTTGAAATTTGTTTAGAAGGGGGTATGCATTACTTTCAAATCAGTTTTATCCTTCCAACACACGTTTTAACAGCCTTACTGATATTTAATTAATATATTATACTTAATATACCACTTTCCCATTTAGTGTACAAGCACTTATTAATGCATTTATAGAATGGAGCAACCATTGTCAAGCTTAATTTATAATATTTTCATCACTTTCAAAAGAAAATCTTTCCCATTTAGCAGTCCATTTTTCTCTAAGCCTCCTAGCTCTACACAACTAACAATCTGTTCTGTCTCTCTAAATTTGTACATTCTGGGAAATAATACAAATGGAATCATACAATATGTGGCTCTTCATAACATTTTTCACTTAACATAGTATATTCAAGGATCATTCATGTTGTAACACATATCAGTACTTCATCCCTTTTTATGGCTAAATAATGTTCCACTGTATGTGTAGATCACAGTGTTTATCTATGTTTAACTTTGTGAGGAATTGCCAAACTGTTTTTGGAATGAATAACTAGTTAACCATTCGGTATTCCTATCAGCAATAAATGAGAATTGTAATTTCCCCCACATCCTTGCCAACATTTGTTTTAGATAGTAGCCATCCTAGCAGATGAGAGAATCTCAGTGTGGTTTTCATTTGCATTTCTCTGATGACTGATGATTTCAAGAACCTTTACACATGCTCATTAAAAATTTGTGTACTTTTTTGGAAAAATATCTGTTCAAATTCTTTGCTAACTTGGAATTACTTTATCTTATTTTAATTAATATTTTTCAGAGCTTAGGATCAAACCCAGGGCTTTGCACATGGTAGGCAGGCACTCTTACGACTGAGCTACATCCCCTCCCTCCCCTACCTATTTTTAAATTGGGTTCTTTTCCCTCATTCATGACTTCCAAGACTTCTATATGTTCTGAATTCATGTCCCTTATGAAATATGTAATTTGCAAAGATTTTCCTCCACTTTTACTTTTCACTTTTTGTGGTGACCATTGAAATAATTGTTTTTTATTTGACAGAATCTGACTTACCTATTTTTTGGTGTTGTTGCTTATGCTTTTAGCATCATATCTAAAGATCCATTGCCTAATCCTTGGTTATAAGTATTTACTCCGTGTTATTTTCTAAGATTTTTGTAGTTTTAGCTCTTCCATGTAAGTCTATGTCATATTTGAGTGAGTTTTTTGTGTATGATGTTAGAGTAGGGGTCCAATTTCATAGCTTTTGTGTTTGTCCTGAAATTATTTGTTGAACAGACCTTTTTTACTCCTTTGAGTGGCTGTGGCACCCCTATAGGAAACCAATTCACTAAGTCTATAGGTTTATTTCTGGACTTCCAATTTGGTCTAAATGTCTAGCTTATGCCAATATCACACTTTCCTAATTATTTTAGGTTTGTAGTAAGTTTTAAAACCAGGAAATGTTAGTCCTTTTTTTACTGTGTTCTTTTCCAGTATTGTTTTGGCTATTCAGGGGCCCTGGAATCCATATGAATTTGAGGATCAGCTTGTGAATTTCTATAAATAAGGATGCTAGGACTCTGTTAGGAATTCTATTGAACTTATTAATCAATTTGGAAAGTATTGCTATACTAACAACAAATTCTTTAACCAATAAACTTAGGCTATCTTTCTACTTATTTAGTTTTTTTAAAATTACTTTCAAAATTTTGTAGTCTTTACTATGTAAGTCATATTTCTAGAGCTAAACTTTATTCCTATTTTATTATTTTAATGCTATTATAAATAGAACTATCAATTTCATTCTCTGATCATTGCTAGTATAAAGAAATTCAACTTAATTTGTGTATAGATTGTATATTCAACTTTGATGAACTCATTTATTAGCTCTGTTTGTGTGCGCATATTCATTCTTTAGGATTCTCTCTATAATATCATACTGTATACAAATAGATATAGTTTTGCATCTCCTTTTCAATTGGGATTTTTTTTCTTTTTCCTCAACTTCTTTGCTAGAATTCTACTTTCAATAATGAACAGAAGTGACAGGAATGGGCATCCTTGTGTTGACTCTGATCTTATACCATTCAGTTTTTCATCATGAAGTATGTTAGTTGTGGAATATTTGTATATGATTTTCATCTGATTGAGGACATTCCTTTCTCTTCCTAGTGTCCTGAGTGCTTTTTTCATCAAAGGATATTGGCTTTGGTCAAATGTTTATTCTGCATCTGTTGAGTTGATCCTATGCCTTTTGTCCTTTGCTTTTTAAATATGTACATTGTAGTGCATTGTAGTACATATGTATGTACATATGTAGTACATTGTTTCTTGCAGGTTGAACTAATCTTGCACTTAGGATAATACCCACTTGCTGATGGGATATAATTCTTTGTATTTTATTGTTTTGTTTTGGTACTGGGAATCAAACTGAGGATCTTGAGCTTGCCAGGAGACACTGTGGCACTGAGCTATATCCCCACCCCTTATAATTCTTTTCATTTGCTGCGGGATTGTGTTTACTGGATTGTTGTGGAATTTTGCATCAATATTCATAAAGATATTGGTGTCTAGCTTTTCTGGTGATATCTTTGGTTTTGGTATTGGCACAGTAGTGATGAGTTCAATAAGCTGAGTGTTTTTCTGCTTTTGAAGAGTTTGTGAAGGACTACTGTTATTTTTGAATTGGTATTAATTCAAAAGTTTGGTAGAATTCACCAGCAAAGCATCTGGTCCTGGGTGTTTCCTTGTGGAAAGTTTTAAAGTCACTAATTCCACCCCTTTACTTTTAATATGTTTATTTCATGTTTCTCTTATTAGGTCAATCTCAGTGATTTGTGGTCTTATAAAAATTTATGTGCTTCATGTATGTTATCTAATTTGTAAGAATATGATGATTCATGGTTTTCTTTAATAACCTTTTGTCCTTTTTTGCAAGTGTTATCATCTGTTTTACTCCCAATTTTATAAATATGAGTTTCCTTTTGAAAAAAGTCTAGCCTGCAGGCAGGGGTTATAGCTCAGCTGCACAAGTGCCTGCCTCGTGCGTTTGAATCCGGTATCCCCCTCAAAAGAAAAAGTCTAGTTTCAAGATTGTCAATTCTGAGGATCTTTTCAGAGAATCACATTTTTTATTTTACTGCTTTTTCTTTACTGTTTTTCTACTCCGTGTCATGTATAACCACTTTAATATTATAACCTTCTCTCTTCTAACATTGTGTTGAATTTGATCTTTTTCCAGTTCCTTAAGGTGAAAAGTTGAGTTACTAACTGAAATATTTTCTCTTTTGTAATATAGACATTTACAACTATATAGTTTCCCTGGAGCACCATTTTCAATGCATATAATGTTTTTGTATGTGTTAATTTCAATTTTTCTCCAAACAATATTTTCCCTTGTGACTCTTCTTTGACCCAATAGACATTTAACATTGTGTTAATTTCTAATTTGTGAATTCTCCAAATTTCCTTTTGTTAGTTATTCTAATTTTATTCCATCACCATCAAAATATTCTATTTGTTTATGCATCTATTTCCTAAATGATGTAGGATTAAATTGGCACAGAAATAAAACATAGGATCTTTTGTATTTATTAACATAGTTACCTTTAGTATTGACCTTCATTGCCTCATGTGAATTTGTGTTACTGTCTAGTGTCTTTAATTTAAACCTGAAGGTCCTCTTCAGTACTATTTGTAAAATAGATCTACAAAGGTGAATTGTCTGTTTTTCTTTCTGGGAATGTCATTTTTGAAGAATCTTCATTTTTGAAGAATAATTTACTTGGATGCAGATTCATTCACTAACACTTTTTCTTCCAGCATTTTGAATATGTCATTTCTCTGCATTCTGGCCTCCATAGCTTCTGACACATATTCAGCTGTCTTATTGGGGGTTCCTTGTACATCAATTGTTTTTCTGGTTGCAGGATCCTTTCCTTAGCTTTAGATATTTTTACTATGGTGTCTCTAGATGGAGATCCTTTTGGGTTTATCTCATTTAAGATTCTTTTTAAAAATTTTGTTTTAAAGAGGGTAAAATTAAACAGAACAAAACAGATCATAAGAAAACAATGTAATAGACACAGATTTCAAAGCAAGACAACTGGAGATTTTCATTGTCTATCACATTTTCTCTTGTTTTCTTCCAAATAGTTGTCCATATAGTTGCATACAATGAATTCATACAAAGCAAAATAGTATAATCAGTATAGCTAAGATGATCAGAACAGGATGATGAAGGCATTTTAGACAATATGGAAGTCAACAATGGCTATCATAGTGTCTCTCTTTCTCTTCAAAATACCTGTCCATACCTTCACATATGTTGAAATTAAACAAAACAAAACAGACTAAAATCA